ATGTATTGTAGACCACGCATAATATCAAATACGCGGGATTAACCCTTTGCGCTTCGAATTATGTTTCATCTATTTTCATCTATTGGTTTGGACTTGAAACAATGTCGCGCGAGACCCGACAAGGAAGCTCCTGAGGGATAAAAACTGACGTCGAGTCACCCTCGACGTAGCTGAGTGCAAAGGGTCAACCAATCGCGCGTATACGCAATAAATTAATTTAATTCCTATCACTGTACTTTCTATCTCACCCCTTACGAAAAGAAGTAACGAAACAATTACTCGGAAGTCACTGTATATCAGTAGCTGAATCATTAGAAATTATTCATGTACAGTAATTTTCTAGAAATTACTTGGTTGCCTTTTTCGTAAGAGGCTCGCGGTCACCCCAGTGAGAAATGATACGTCGATCGATGTCAAAACGATGTCGGATCGACATCGATACCGTCAAATTGACGTCGATTCGACATCGTTTCGACATCAATCGACGAATCATTTCTCACTGGGACGAGAGCTCTCTTAGTTGTAGCGGAAAGTGCAAGCAGGTAAAGATCTTAATGCAGGTACAGTCTTTACGGCTGAATTTCTCTCAGCGTCCATTTAATCTCCCTTTTCCTCCAACAAACGTGTAGGGGGGGGGGGGGGAGAAGGAATGAAGAAATATACAAAAGTTCTTCTAAAGGAGCACGTTTCGTGGAGTGAAAAGTACGTAAAAATATTGAAATTAAAATAGCGCACAAAAACGGCGCACCGATTCGGTCGCTTTCTAAACGTTTTAATCACTTCTATCGTTCTTGGACGATCTGACTATAATTCTTTACGCCAGTGACGTCAAGCTCCCGTAATAAATGTATCGAAAATTCACCTTAAGATAGTCTTAATCTGCTGCAAATCAATCCACACAAAGCCGCATTAAATTGTATTTTAATTTGTCGCATACTTGGAGAAGCAGCAGCAGCAGCAGCCGCAGCGTTTCCGGTGCGCCACGTAGAAACGGAACTGACACGGGCCTCGCGTGAAATTAGGCTGACAGGCTGCGGAACAACGCTGTCGCGAAATCTCGGTACTTGGATACGCACGAGCCGCGCGCACTCGCCAACATTCGACACTGCCACGAAATGAAATCAAACTTTTCCGTGATCGCGAGATCTCGACCGAGCCTATCCAGCAGTGCTACTGAGCTACCCAGCGGCCCTTCTAGGGACACGTACTCACGAAAGCTACGCTACCGCACATACAACGGTTCTCTCATCAGTACGGGAATTCTCTAACTTGCAATCGATCATTTTCGGTATCGGTAACTTGCGACAACCAATGGCGAGGACGATCTTCGAAAGAGACGCAGATTTTTCACTGATTGTTCCTAGTTAACGTTATCGAAAAATCTCGATAGCAATTGTTAGAGAATTCCCGTACTGATGCGTTGCGTGCGTGAATTTAAATCTCTCATTATTCCGTGAAACTTCTTGACTATTCATGCGGTAGGGCCGGTTTCGGGTCCCCCAAAAAGGCGCAGGCCTTGAAATGTTCCCCGCCGGGAATAATTCTACAAAAGGTATTCTCTTATTTTCGAATAGAGGAGTTTGTTGCGCCCTAATGAAAATAAGAAATTTTGTTTCTCTACGCGCGCTTGTATCGCAGAACTGTTTAAGTGTGCGTTACGTTTGCCTCTTTCAGGTTTCAATTAAACTAAGTCTGCAAGTCCTTCGTTGAAACCGCGAGTCCGACTTGGAGTTAAAATAAGGCGCGCGCGATTGGGATTGAATTTCGTCAATCTCGCACATACGCGAGAATATATTCGTAAAGAAGAGTAACCCACCCGAATTTTCACAAATGAAAGAAATCAAATCATTTCGTTTATCACCTCATCTTACGCAGTCATCGGAGTGGCCATTATTGACCACTTACCTCGTCGTATCCAGGTCTTCTTTCGTTGGGCCAGATTGGACATACCTTTCGTTGCTCCTGGCCATACAGTCCGGTCATTTCGACCAGAAGGAAGGAAACTCCTTCCATAGTCAATTTATTGCCGTCACCAGAGAGAAACTTGAAAGCGGCCACGCCGGCGTCTCTTTCTTGGTACCGTTTCGGGTGGCCGTTTTGCGCGCTCTCGCGCCCATTTTCACTTTTGGAACTATTTCGTCGCGCATTGTCGGACTCTGCCGATAAACTTTCTTGGTGCATGTCTGTGCTACGCATTCTAACATCTGATTTGTAAAATTTACACTGTCTACACGAGAAAAGTTGACGTAAATATCGTGCGGATAATTTGTGGTAATGTAATTTTGAATTTCACAGCACAATCGTGAAAACTAGGCATAGCGTGAACAACGAAGCGGTGACTTTATCGGCAGTGTCGGAAGATGCGTAGCACAATAGTTCCAAAAGTAGAAATGGGCGTAGAGGCGCGCAAAACACTCTCTTGAAACGGTATCAAGTAAAACGCCCGTACGGGAATTCTGTAACTTGCTATCGAGATTTTTCGATAACGTTAACTAGGAACAACCAATGAAAATCTGCGTCTTTTTCGAAAATCGTCCTCGCCATTGGCTGTCGCTAGTTAACGATACCGAAAAGCATCGATTGCAAGTTACAGAATTCCCGTACCGGTTTCAAGTAAAACGCCCCGCTCTCAGATTTCTCTCGGCCGTTACCGACAAATATTACGTACGGTTCGAACTGTATGCGAGCGTCGATCGTATCGAAATGCACGAGAAGTTAATTAAAGAAGAAAATTACTTAAACATTTTCTGTATGAAACTAATCAAATATATTTTCACTTCCGTTATTTGTGCGAGAATAGATGACTGTCTCCTCGCGACGCAATTTTTTAATTCAAAATTCAAGTATAATCTGTACGTATATAGAAAGAAACAATTTACTTTGCGTTATATTTATTGTAATTACACTCCGCGATAAATTTATAATATGGATGAAACTAAACGATTAATAATTTCTCGGCAATATTTTGAAACACTGATCGCGAAAACCGACCGCGAAAATACGCAGATGCGTGCAACTACACCCTCAGAAAGAATTTCTGTTATCGAGACACAAATATTCTTGACCCATTTATATGTATATTTCTCATAACTCATTTAGTATAGAATTTTTATTTTATTAGTATAGAAATTTTAAATAGAAATTTTTATTAGTATAGAAATTATTTTATTAGTATTTTATTAGTATAGAAATCATTGGTATAAAAATAAGATAGTATCAAAATAAAATCAACAATTCTTATTCTCCTCTATCGAATTAAAAAAGATTAACTTGCTATGCTGAGCCAAGAGTATAAATGTAAGTTTATATGTTCTCGCGTTTAGAAGAAATTTTCCCTCCATCTTTCAATGCACGAAGCACCACGATATTCGACAAAAGACGATACACGCTATCATTTTATTCTAGATTTTACAATTTTTCAATTAAAATATTCCTTCCTCTATAATAAATATCATTGGCGCTATATCAATTCTATTTTATGATACGTTCATAAAATTGGATCCAGAAATTTTTTCTGTGGGTGTACGCATGTATTCATGCGAGACGCATCTTGAAAGTGTATCGCGAGATACACACACAGAGTAAATGACGTGAGACCGAGAGAAAAGAAACTTTTCGTACGACAGATAGATCGACAATTAAATAATCTCAAATAATGTATAAAAATAATATCAAGTTTCAGCGTTCGCGACAAAATATTAAAGTCTCAAGTCATATTACTTTATACATATATAAATTTGTCAATGAAAAATGGATAGGCTGCAAGATATAAGCTCGACGAATACATTCATAATATTCGTCACATTTTGCGTGAAAATGTGTTATGTGCTGTAATGGAGCACTCAACCCCCCCCCCCACAGTAAAAATCGCGACCATACCCTTTCGATAGATAAAATATATTAAAGTAAATGTGCAATTATGTTACAATCTATCCATTTTAAGGCAACGGATCTACGAGATGTAGATCCGTTGCCCAATAAAAAAGGTTCTGAAGGCAACGGATCTACGAGATGTAGATCCGTTGCCCGATAAAAAAAGGTTCTGAAAAAAACTCACCATCCGATGCGCAGCAGCGGAGTCGGCTACGTTCGTTCTGTAACAAACAAATACAGAAATGATTAAAGTAACGTTCGAGGAAATTGCCGCTGTAACCCAGACAGCACACGTGTCTAAAAGGCGCCATAAAGATATCTTTAAGACACCTTTTAGACGTACATGTCTAAAACCCAGATAACATGCTTGTCTAAAAGACATCTTCAAGACTTCTTTAAAACGTCTTTAAGATATCTTTTAGACGCGTTTGTCTAAAAGATATCTAAAAGACGTGTTAAAGACATCTTAAAGATGTCTTTTAGACATGCATGTTATCTGGGAAGATAACTTAATGACGTCTTAAAGATGTCTTTTAGACATGCGTGCTGTCTGGGAAGATACAAGCAATTCTTATGCGTGTTAAACGTTTTATTTGCCTTCACAAGAACAAACTTGTATAAAACTTTTAATTATTTCCCGTTCTCTCGTTATTACTTCGAAATTACAGAATTACGACATGACACAATTCAAAAATGAACAGGAAAAAAGCACCAAATAAAAAAACACTTACGCTAAAGTTGCTCCGCCGGCGGCGCCGGATGCCTGTCCTAGGCAGCTGCTTCTCCATTTCCGGCTTGTCATCTGGCACACTCGCGAAAACACACATATCGTTCGCGCGATTTTACACTCCCGTTTAAAAGCCCATGCGAGGGTATTCTGTTCCGTCAATTTCGCCTCCACTTCGAGTCGACGAGTATTGAACTTCAAAACTGTCAAATCTCTGAAGTGTGGCCATCGACAGGAACGGACGTTCACCGAATACTTTTTCCTCGAATGGGCTTTGAAAAGTCTTTCGTTCGATTAAATGCAAACGGCACTCCCGAACGCGACGAAAACGAAAACTTCATTTTATCCGCGCACTCTTGTACGAGAGAGAGTATTTCTTGGCACTTTTCGTTGTCACTTTACCTTGCGCTTTTGATCCGAAAGCGACAAATGTTCACGTTGAACCGGCGAAACTTTTAGGCTGGGTCTACATTGGATGTCGTAAGTCGTGTCGGAAGAAATTGACCAATCACAGTTCATTATTCTCCTTACGGTCGAAGAATAATGAACTGTGATTGGTCAATTTCTTCCGACTTACGACATCCAATGTAGACCCAGCTTTAAGGCGCGACGCGAGACAGCTTCACCGGAGCTCGATTGTTAATAGAAATCAACGGTATTGATAAACGCGATTGATAAGCGTTAACATAATATCTCTCGTACGAGACGATCGAGATTCCCGTGGGGAAATAAACGCGTCACGACGAGCGACGCGGAGACGCGCGAGACACACCCGCCTCGCTTGACTGAGCCGCACGAAATGATCAACTGTTTTTCGCCGAGGTGTTTTTCACCGCGCTACGTCATTTCGTGGAATTCGGCGCTCGGCTCTCGACCGAGTTGTTTACGGCGCTCGGCAAAACAAGGTCACGCCGCCGTACGTTCATTCACGCGGCGGCAATTGAACGAGTCAGTTATGCCCGCGCCGTACCGCGTGTCGTATTATTCTTCCTTGATACGCGTTCGCGACAAGTTCGGAAAGAAATCGCGATCGCTGAAACACGCGACTTGCCGTCGACACTCGGTTAACCGGCAAGCCAAATATCTCGAGCAATTCACACGTTAAATGTACACATCCAAGAATCAAAGAGATCACTTGTTGCGATAATTGCTTCTTTAAACGATGCTCCAACACATTTCGTATCATCGCATTGACAGTCTCTCGTCGCTTCGAGTATAATTTGTTAGCTGTTCCTTCGTTGAAAGCGCGAAATAATACACCAAACTATTGAATACCATCGCGATACGTTCAATTGAAAAATTGAATATCAATTAATCTTGTCCGCGTCTAATTATATAATTGTAATACTTGCTCGACGATAGTTTAAGTTTGACATTTATACATCGATTACTGCGGATTAAAATTAATACCAATTTACAATTAACACCGAGTGCAAATAGTAATTTCGTGCGATCGTATATCTCGTGTGTTTCCTTAATTTCCTATCGCGTGTGATTTAATAGTGAAGTGTTATACAAAGTGCTACGAAGTTTCATCAAACATTCCACGGGGTTTGGTCAACCACGAAACGTAAGTACCTACACATTTTATATGAGCTCGCTTACGAGAGATTAAACGTGAACGATTCCTCTTTATATTTCGTAAAAAATTAATTTATTTATTACATATGAGTACGCGCGAATTAAATCGTACATCGTAAGTTTGTCGGCAAGTTTCGAAGAAAACAAAATTTAATGAACTTCTGATTATTTCGTTGACTGAATTGATTGAATATTGAATTCAATGAACATTTTTTGCTCTTCACGAGTTCACGCTACGTAATATCGCTACTATTTACGCTGTCAATACTCTCTTATTACATTATTATTCGTATTGTGTCGGCTTAATTGTGCCATTCTTTAATTCACAGTTACGTTGTTATACAATAAAAGAATTGCTTTCAATTTTAATACATTTCGCTATACACAGTTGCATTATTTCTTGTTCTTTGACTTAATCCACTCGGATTGCAATTGGCGTAACATCTGTGGTGTCAAGAGTCCCTCCGCTATTAATCGTTCAGTCAATTTGCCTTTACCCACGCTACGTTTGCCAGTTCCCTTAAAATCTGGAAAAAGAAGGTTCCGTATAATTTAACGCTCAAGCATCGCGAATGTATAACTAGATTGTTTTTTTTTTATACACAGCAAGACTTTACCTCTGTAAAAGTTTTGCTTCTGCGTCTGCAACTCGAAACTATCGGCCTCTCCACCTAAATAATGGAAAAAGGACTCGTAAGTTAAGCGCTTCGCACTAGTATAAAATTATAAAACGTTTTGCAAAACGAAGGCGTCTTCGATGTATTGGATTTACAAAAAAAATTATAAAAATCTTAATAAAATATAAAACGGAATTACACGCATACGCACGTGTATTTTTCTATTAGAATAATAGAAATTAGAACAGCGAGAGATCACAAATTATATAAATATTACGTTTCAAAAGAATCACATTTACCTGAATCCGAATTCAACAACAGATTTGTTAATCGAACTATTCCTGCCTCGATGAGTGCATCAAGTTCCTTCTGTATGTCGCGGACCATTTCGGCATCCGGGAACAGGTCCATGAAACGGTAGCTACAGAATATAAGATAATAAAATGTGTACGAGAACGTGCCGAAAACACGCACGATTGAAATAGTCTCATTATACCTTAGCCACAGGTAAAGATCCAATACATCGAAGACGCCTTCGAGATGGATGAGATCGATAATAGTTCTTGGCATTTGGAAAGGCCATCCGATATGTTGGCATAACCAGTTGAATGTTATCGCGTCGTTTTTACTGTATTGACGTGCGAACTGGAAAAGAAAACGTACATTTTTGTATATCACAGAAAGTACGGAGCGTGGAAATAGAATAAAAATTTTACATTCGGAAAATAGAGAATTTGTGTTAAGCCAGGAGTTGCTTCCTCGTAATGGTGCTTTAATCAACTTTACGAATAATACTGTAACACTTGCCTTTAGGAACATGGTACACACATATGGCGATTTCCGATTGATCGGCGCGCAACAGAATACGTATCTCGCACGGAGCGGCAGTAAAACGTGCTGTATCATGTCGGCTAGGAACTTAAAGTCGTCTATGTTGCACATGAAATAAAGAGAATCGTCGACTGTGCACAGAGACACAAAAATATCCTAAAATGAGCGAGGCGTTATGAGCGGCGTCATTTGCGACAAGTTAATTAATGTCACTCCCGTTTCCACGGGAGACTCACCATAAGATTCGACAGCGTCGCGTTCGGCAAATGATAAGCGTACAACTCAATCTGATCCGCCGTTGGATGGAGACCAGCCTGCGTTATCGTCTCCGGCGTTTGACTCAACAAATTTTTCAAAGTCGGCAGATCCTCCCGTTTAAACGCCGTTACGTAACCCTGCGACGGAAAAGTGTATTTTAATATCTTTCCACCGCGTTGTCTTCTTTCGTGACGTTATTAGAGATAAAACCGGATTATGCTTACTGTGTCCCAAACCGTGCCATAACGTCCAGCACGACCTGCTATTTGCAGAGCCGCCGAGACAGATATAACATCCATTTCCTTTTCGCCTTTTTCGTTGGACGTTGGCTGAATCAACGAATAAAATATAATCCTCCGGATATGCCTGTAACAACACGTGGCTCGTTTAAAGGAGCGCGCTTTCAATAATACGCATCCGTGATCACTTGAAGCTTAAAAGTATCAACGTACAGCCTCAGATTTAACGCATACGTGTGCGTGGTACTTACAAATTCAGGCCCATTCCGATGGCATTGGTCGCCACCAAGATCTTACAAGAATTGTTGGGATCGTTAAATTTCGCAGCTTGCGCCAGCTTGGTGCCTGGTGGTAAACTGCCATATATCACAGCCACTTCTTTTCCTCTGCTCTCGAGGGAACGCGACACAGTATATATATCGTTTTTGTTAAAACAAACTATGCAATCTCCCGGCATGACGTTATTCAACGTTTCGACGGCTCGATTTTCAATCTCCAGTTCCGTTAACCGCTTATACCTGCGAACTTCCACGTCTTCGCCCGTCGAAACGCATATGGCTTTTACCTGTGCATACATATAGCTTTCGATCAATAGACGTCAGTTAGTGGTATATAATTCGTACGATGTAGAAATGGAAAGCGTACTAATTCTATAGCAGCGGCTTCGCCGCATAAATGTATCTCGTCCGCCGAAATTCCCAGAAGGGCCCTCGTCCACGCCCAGCCTCTGCTAAGATCGCGCATTAACTGAATCTCGTCAATTACAGCTACTTCGTCTGCAACGAATTACGATCGCATTGACAATTCGTTTGTGCTAATGTTGAAGACGCCAGACCACCAACACTTACAATGGTTTTGTAGATTCACCATTTCTACGGAACAGGATAAATGATCCGCTGCGTTATTGTACCCCTTGACATTCTTTCGTTCTTCTCCAGTTAACAAATCACATGGTGTTCCCTGAAAATTAATATTATCTATATTATTATAAATATGTCATTGTACCTTTGCGTTATCTTCGGCGGGTGTAACCGAAGCGAATATGTGATACCAACCCTATCGTTGCATTTATGAAATACTTCCGCAACCAGTAACTTTAGCGGCGCGCAATACACCCCACTTTTTGCGGTAATAAATCTCTCGAGAGCGTGATAAGTCTTCCCGCTGTTCGTTGGTCCAGCGTGAAAAACTATTGTCCTATTTTTTGATCTCGCTAGAGGATACCTAAAGAGCATCAGTAGTCAAGTTTTATCACTCTGTGAAAGTTCTATGTTATTCTTATACATTTCTGATATATTAAAACAAGTAATCGTACAATAAGATAGTAACCTTAGTAGCACAATATAATGGCGCAATATTGGGAAATAACGTAAATCTAGTGTTGCCAATATTGGCCCAACATTGTAAGATGAACGCCTTCTCTTACGTAGCCAATATGTCTATTTAGCAATATTGGTTTAATATTGTATCAATATTAGACCAATATTCTTATTACATTGTTAAATATTGGCCAATGCACTTGCAACATAAATCTAATATTATATAATTATTATCGTGCAACACTTGCATTTATTCCACAGCCAATATTGGCTTTACGTTGGACAATATCGGCCAATGCATTTTCAATGTAACCAACATTGGGCCGATGTTTCGCCAATGCACCGCGCTACTAGGGAAGTCCTGATAACTTCGGTATCATACGAATATCAAACATTTCCTCACCAGGTAGCGGGGCTTCGTAGGTCGCTGATCTTTTTGAGATCGTCCAAGCAATCGATATGCGGAAATATTTGTTTGGCATGCTTTAGGAAATACGGAAAGATATCGCTGACATTTCCGGCGCCTTGCAATATGTCGCTCAGGACGACATAGAGATCCACCGGCAACGGCTCCGTTCCCATACAGTACTGCTTGAAGTTTGTGAAAGCTTGGTTCTGGAGGTAGCCTGAAATCAACGGCCGCGATCAGAAGCCACGATCGGCGCAAGCAATGCGTCTACAACGCGCGGAGTAATCCTGGGGTAAAGAGTAGGAGTAAGAAACTAAATTTCTTACTCTCCTACTTTTAGCTTTCGTGCTTACTCTTGGCGAATAAGAACGCCATCGTTTTGAAAGTTACGCTTGCATTTTAGCTTCCTTGCACCGCAAGCCAAAGGTTGCGGTTCTCTCTTAGGGCCCGAGCAGAATGGCTGTCTTGTATTCTTAAATCACAAGACAGTCATTATGCGTTACTTCAAGGCCCGGTCTACAATGAGTTGTTATTCGTTAAACAGAAGTCGGAACAGTATGTCGATCCTTTTCCTTTCTAGGTGGAGGAGAAAGGTCCGTCATATAGTTCTGACTTCTGACTAGCGACTCTAAGACCAAGATTTAAAACATAAAACATTGTCTTAAGAGTACAAGCCATTCTGCTTCTCGCGCCAGGCTTACTCCACGCATTGTAGACGACGCGTAACAGTTAAGTTACACTCGGTTCTCTACGCACTATCCAATCCGGACTTCTGAGCCAGCTCCTTGATCTCGGTCTTCTGCGAGAAGGCGTTGAGTACCTTGAGCAGATCCGTCTTGCGCAACGAGGAGCCCGTCAGCTCGGCGCCGACGTTTATGTCATCCGGATTCGGCTTGATGGGCACAGGGTGGAACAGAGATTCCGGCAGGCTCGTGCTGCTGTCCCTTCTCTTGCCTCTGCACGGCTGGACGTAAGTCGCGCCGAGCGCCGACCTGGGCGACAAGAGATGAAATAAGAGGTTCGCAGTAGCGACATTCTCGGTGCAGCTTGCCGTTGCGCCGCGCAACTGATTGGAAAGCTGGTTTAGGAAGGAGATGAGGGAGAGAACACACGTTCGAAGCATAGGTATACCTCGCGAGGTTTATAAATGTCTAACAACATATACTTTGGAGCTACACGTACCTGCGTGCCAATGTCACCGCCGATACGGCGCACCTTCGTACCAGCTGCTCCATCGTGGCGACACTTAACTAATATCGTTCCTCGAGCGTGCACGAAAAAGTCCCGCTGTCAAAACATCGCAGGGAGCCTCCTGCCAGGAGATCGGGGCACAAACTCGCGCGGAGGCCAGCACACGTTGCGTCACGCACGTGGGATCCGCGCCGACAGTCTCTCGCTGCGGTCCCGCCCCGGCTACGCGCATGCGCGGGTCAATCGTCACGTCGCGCCAAGTTTCAACGGTGAACCTCCGACGCGCTCGCGATGCAAAACTTGACGCAAAAGCTGAAACTCCGAGACTTGTGATTTTCGAAAGCTGAGCCCGCAAGCGACGAAAGGAACGATGCGCCGTCTTTCGTGACAACGCAATGTGTAAGCGACGCTGCGTAAAGACACGCGACGAGTATATCGATAATCCTATCGGGAAGACGCGCGGTGTCTCGCGGTAGAAATGGCGAAGGCCTCACCTCTGGCATGTGTCTTGACGCAGTTTGCACCGCCCGCAAATTTCCCGAGTTGGAATGCGCCGCGCGCGACGAGAGCCCGACGGGGTCGGAGATTCAGCGGCGCCTTGGCACCTCGCTGGCGCAGCTTCTCCTCGACCGCAGTCATCGGGAAGCGGTGAAACTGCAGTTGGACCCGACGCCCCGTGCCAAACTGACGCGGCAATCATCATGTTGCGCCTCACGGGACGGTGAATTGAAGGCGGACGCGACGGAAACTTGGGCGAGAAGGCAGGAAACTCTTAGATCCTTCCTGCATAGCGATATTCTAGGTAGTAGAGGAAAGTCCCCTATTATGCGATAGATTCCTAATCTGAGATAGTGAGTTTCTGCCGATAGATTATGAAAGGCACAAAAAATTGATATTTTTGACACTTTTCTTGGGCAAAGGCGATAATATGTCGATATTTTATAAACGCTCGGCTCAGCGCTGGGCGAAGGCGAGCTGGAGATATTTCAGGCGGAGATCGAAGCGGCGACGGAGAGGAAACTGAGGGATGAGTTTACAGAGGAATATCGTGTGCTCGAAGCTGAAAAGAGATTCGTCGTTAGACGCAACGCGGAGGAAATTCACGCCAAGTACGAAGAGTACTTGAAATCCGCTCAGGAGGAGTTGGAGAAGAAGTTGCGGGTGAACGCAAAACATAATTGACTTAATAAAAGAGATGATAATTTATGGAAAATTGTGATGCGACAGGTCGAAGTTTCGGTCACGGATGAGAAATGCGAGAAAGAATTGCGGAAAGCCGTCGTAAAAGCGGGAACAGATGCAACCCACGACGTGCTAAGAAAGATACGGCCTCAAATAGACTTGGTCGTTACGTCCCTCTACAATGAGCTCGAACAAACTCATCGCGCGCAGAGAGAAAAAATGATTGTTGAGTTCAATGAGATCGTGAGGTATCTGGATACTGTAAAAAATGTAACAAATTTTAACACACTCGATGTTCGTATACGTAAAATGAATTGAATTTGGCTTTGATCCACGAAGGAAACAGCAGCTCAAACAGGATGCAAGAATCCGAGAGATCGAGAGGGTGAAGATGGAAGAGTTGCGTGTCCAACGTCACGAATTCGAGATACGAAATGTAGCAAATATCATTTGCATTGTTTGCATGGAACGATTGCGTGGCAGTTTGCAACTGCAGGCGACACACGAACATTTTCAAGTAAATATTACATTTATTTCGAACGAAATTTTAAAATATCTGTACCTATCTTATCTTTCTTTTCAAAATGATTAGATAACATGTCGGATGAAAGTTGAAACCTACAACTCTCTTTCATTCGTTGTCTCACTTTACGATAAATACATTTGTTATAAAGTGCTATTTAAAAACATTAACATGAAAAAATGACATATTTGAAACATACAGGAAAAAATCAAGTCCTTGCACGAACTTGTTGCTAAGCAAGAAGAAACTGTGAATGTAATGGAAGCGAGGATTACAAAATATCGCAATGAGAATAAAGCGCTTAAAGAAAAGATCGATGCTCTTAGTGAGGAATTTCAAAAATTTATAAATTTTGCATTTAACACTTTACCGGAGCACGCCGATTTTTTATTGCCATTAGATCTGCTTTCTATAAATAGCACGAACAAAGAGGACAAGCAAGAAAAGAAGCGACAAATAAATTAAGAAAACAATGTGAAATTTATTGCAATAAAAAATTATATATAGTAAGATAAGGGAAGAATCAATCATAATAATCAGAATCAAAAGATGCCACTCGAAAGTTTTCCCAGTTATTCTGCAGTAACAAATACACGTATATAATTTTACACCTTATATTTCTAGCGGTGTGGATTATAACAAATAAAAATATCACGCTATTAATCCACGAGAAATAAATCTCTGGTACATTCTATGAATCAGCATTTTAGACGCGAATACATGAAAAGAAATTAGTTTTCATTTATTTACACATTTTACGTAAGTGCAAGAGAAAAATTGTAAGTACAAAGAAATGATTTCGTGCTCTTGATGAGAATAGGAACTACGAGAGTTTGTGTAGAAAATTTTGCCAGATTCTATTGTAGTTAAAAAAAATTAGTAAGCAAAAAGGCAGTTCGTGTCAAATATGATACGAACTGTTATAACAGCGTCGACACAATATGTTTGTAGAAATAACAAAATCTGCTGACATACATCTGCTTATCTTTCTGAGGGAGATATCGTGGAGTTTATTTCTTATATAATTAATTGCAAAATTACAGATACTTAAACAAAATAAATAATCGTCCATTTATCGCACATGTGTTTTATTATAAAAATTATATGTTAAAATATGTAACAACTATTCACAGAAAATATATCACCAAAATATCGATGATCGTGCTACAGCAATATACAGATATATTTATAATTCATTGTACAAAAGTTCGATTAGTTGCTAATTAATATGTCAGTGATTCATTGAAATTCCTAGCATCCTTCATTTGACAACCACGGAACCATTCTGGATCTCGCTCCAGATTGAACGCCTTACGCTGATAAAATTGTGCTAACATAACGGATTTCAGACCTACTTTGCTAAGTGGAACGGGCGGATAATCATGAAGGCGCCAACCGTATATCCAATTCGTACAATCGGGAAAATAGAAACGTTTCTCCGGCGGTTCTTTATATCTAAAAAAAAAATGTCAAAAGGCATTTTACATTAGTCAACTGGTCCCCTTCGAATGGGGTCCCATACGCTGTGTTTGAATTTGTATTATGCACTACCTTTCAGTTAGATATTTCTGAGCAGTAATAAAAGTTGGGATTCCTTTCTCATAAAGTGCGGCTCTTACGTCGGGATCGACCGGCTTCATGATATCTATACCGACAGAACCGTCAGATTTAGGTGGCCTCCAAAGGGGTAAGGGCTTCCGTTGTACCTACGTGCGTACAAAATTTGTAAGACATGAGCATTGTGAGTGAACAAATTGAAATTACAATGGGTTTATCAACGCGAGCTGCTTCTCGCTTTCTAGACTCCGCAATTATTTCCCTGGCACGTTTCGCGAGCCTCGGCTCCCGCAACTGATCTAACAATCGTTGATTTTCTAAAAACCACTTTATCCGTATCGCGTTTTCCTTTTTTATTCTGTCGCCGTGAAATAACTGATAACGAGCGTCGCACACATCTCCAGGTATTTTCGTCATGTCTCGCTCTTGCAATTTGTACGCTAGTTTAGGTAAAATAGACGATTGTTACGAGGAATTTACGCAGCCGTCAAAAAGTATTATAAGGAAAATAACTCTGAAGTAAGATTCCGAAGTGTCACTGTTCCCTCAAATGTTTTCTCCTTTCTTCACGCACTTGTAAGTAAGAAAATGAGAGATAAAGCGAATTAAGCATGGAAGTACACCATAACACTTTGTAGAATGATTTATTTACATTATTATGTATAATGCATTTCACTGTTACACAAACTCAATATATACTTATTAATATATACCCTACATTATTTTTATATTTCTTTATAATACCAGTGGGAGCATATATATCGACTATATACAACTTGTTTTTCAAAAAAGTTAACGCTTACTTATACAAGGGAAAACGTAGAAACTGTGAAATCGATTAATTTTACGCAATAATAAACGTGACCACGATTAGTTTGCGTAATAAATTAAAAAAAGAAAAACAGATCGGTGAACGCGTTTTCATTATGTACAGTATTGTAATATCTTATAACACCTGAGAAATAAGCATCTATTTGAGGTTCAAATAAAGACAATTTCGAGATATAAGTGTTTAATACAAAGATTAACAGATTACAACAAAAAGTATGTGTATAACGATGAATTAAGCGTCCTGTAAATTTAATAAAACACATTGCATTTTGACAATTGCACATCTAAATTAGTATACAAAATACGAACGTGTGTAATATCATCCGTGCAAATCTGTACAAACGCTTCGAACGAAAGATTAGCTGCTATTCTCCAAAGTAAGATTTTGATAATTCAAATTTTAAATTTAGATGCCGTCCCCCCTCCTTTTTTTTATACATCTTTACACATATGAATACTGCGTTTTTACTCTCTCCCCAGCAACATCGAACGATTTATTCGGCAACGATGTAGGGTATTAAAAAATTGTAACAATAAATAAATATGGCGTGAAATATGAGTTTTACATGATATTACTCCCTCTTAAAGTCAACATCAAATGACCCAGTTATCACAGCCATAGGAAGCAATATTGTAGTTATATATCGTATATGGTTTAGATACATAATTTATTTATATTACAAAATGACTAAGGAGCATTTTATCATTTGTACTTGAGTAATCAAGAGGAATCGTAGTTGTACAAATAATAGTTCCATTTTTTCTACACTGGTTTTTCTTGTATTTTATACTGTACATCTGTAATATATTTTATAGTTTTTTTTATCTACAGTCTCCTATAAAATAATTACTTTACATCATTTGTAATTCCTTTAGTTTCGGGTAGCCAATCGTGCCCCGTGTGTTAATTCAATTCACTCCAATGTACCTCTCGTACCTATAATATGAACACGAAGTTACGTCGTATTCTACATCAACTTAGAATTCCATTAAGTAGTCTTTGTAACTTTTTAACGTCAAACTTTGATTGATTTTTACAACGTCCTGTTAATAACAATTATGGGTTGTCTCATTTTGCGAATTTCCGTTTGCGAGATGATCCTGAATTAATTATGCGCACTTAATTATGCTCTAAAGTGTAGTTTATTACCGATGAAATTCCTGCATGCATCCCACTGTTTTCTTAACTTAATGGTACAATGTTGGAGTGGGCTGCAATCTAATTGCGTAACTTATTTTTTCACTATTCAAGTGGAGCATATCTTCCGGTCCTTCTTAAAAACATATGATTTTTATACTAAAAAAAATGTTAAAAAAAATAGTGTTAGTTTTATACTTGCTGTACCATGTTTTCAAGTAACTCTCATTTTATTACTCTTTTACGCGTGAATTCACTTGTAGAGTATAAAATTGCTTGGCGTCTTTCACCATATTAAACCAATTAGATGTCAATGCTAAATAGTTTACTAATAAAATATTTAGAATTATTTGTATAAGCTAGATATATACGAACGTTTATTTATAATTTATTTATAATTTATAATTTATTTATAAATTAATATAAAAATTACAGGTGAAAAACAAATAATACGGACAGGCTGTTTATATTCAAACTGATATACATCAAACCGACATTTTACTGAATGTTCATTTATACTCCATCATGAACAGTACATTAGATAATAGCATTTCTATTTTCAATCATACACATTGGATGGCAGCCAGCGATGTACCAGGATTAACGACTATTTCATGATTCCAAATTTAGTATTGCTAATTAACAAAGTCATTTTGCAATTATTCTAAAGTAGTACGGTATTTCCATGCTGATTTTGCGTAAATGATAGAAAATCTATCGAAAGCATAAGGTACGATAATAATGTAAAAGCGTAATGAAATGATGTTCACTCTTAATCCAACTTTCAGGTTTACCTTTTTAAGATCATCCCCAGAGTCATAGACATAATATATCTGGACCGAGCGTTTGTCTTTATTTGAACAGTTGAGGTAGATGTTCATGTAGAAAAGGCCAAACTCTGTTTTGTGCTATTTTCCTTCTCTCTCGTTTGCATGCGAACGTGAACCTCTATCCCCACTGCTCAAATGCTCGGTCTAGATATGTCTATGCTTTCAATAATCAGAAATTAAAAGATAAAAAGAAGATAACGTTATTAGCGTCGTTATTCGGCGCTGTTCTTGTTAACAATAAGAAGTTTATACAGCAACATTCAGTAAACCTAGGACCCTAGGTCCCGTACCTTTGCTTGCTATTGTCTTTCTTTAGCATCGACTTTCGTTTCTTTGCGACATAGAACATACGTAAAAATGCTGCTCAAGTAATGGACGAATCAACGAAATGTTCATTATCTATAGACTCTTATAAAGAAGATATCGCCACTTTCATAAACAACTCTCGAATAATGAAATAGTTTTCTCTCTCTCTCTCTTTCTATCTCGTGATGGACAATCGACGGTGTGGTTTTCTTTTTACATGCCTAACTCGTGGTCACTTTGAGTAATACAGGCGACGAGGCGTGGTTGTTAAAGTACAGACCTGCGCCTTGAAAACTGTTGGATCTTGATGCGAGCGACGGATTCTGGTTAATTCCGGCCATACCGTTGTCAGACTCGAAGTCGCCATACTCATCGTCTTGCTTACCCCGCAAGACATACTTGAATGACTCGTATCTACCGTACAGATCAGACACACGTTACGCAACGCGACGTAGAGAAAGACGACGAATATTGAGCAATCTCAGAGGGGAGAAAAAAAAGGTGGAGAGAAACACAAAGCCAATTGACTTACATCACCCAACAGATAGCGGTCGCTGGCGCTTGGAATAAGACACGTGCGCGTAGTCCACGGAAGTATCCCTGTATCCCGCCGAACCTGTAGACCTGTTTAAATGCATCTATCATGCCTTGAGCGTGCACGCCGTCCTGCTGCGTGTTCAGCACCGTCTTGCAAACATCAAGAGGGGTCGTTGCGGCGGCCGCGATTGCGCCCGCTGTTGCACCTGGTCACATAAAATAGACGATTAAAACCTTATTCGACTGCAGTTCCTCGCATCAGGGTCCAGTAACTTTGCTCGAGACTTAATACTTTGGAACAATGTTGACGGATTAATTTTTTTTTTTTACACAGTTTTTGCAACGCAACGTTGTATCGTTTTCCCATAACGTCAAAGGTGCACGGCGGAAAATTTATATTATAGATAATTGAAAGACTCACCGGATCCGATATGTGCTATTGGATCGTAAACGTGTTCCGGATTTGTAATAGATTGTACGAATTCGTAAGCGATAAAATGAATACTCTGAAAAGGCACATTCATAGCTAACTGAGTCGTGTAGCTCCTGTAGAACGCAAATATCCCTTCGTTCTGATACACGTGTTGTATGCAATTCCATACATTCCTATACGGGGAATTGTACATCTGCAATCGCTGTTTAACCACTGTAACAAGACAACATTACGTGAATCTCTACATATCCTACGATTTATCTACCAAGGTGAGATCTAGTTTCCAAAATCTCTCGAAGCGTAGCGTTTTCTTGTTAAGGATCTATACATCTTTCACTTTAAAATGTGAAGCAGTGAGAGAGGAAGATAATACTGAGCTCGTGATAAGACAAGAATCTGCCTTCATTAGTCAAGTGACGATAACAGTGAGCAAGTCACGGCTTGTAAGATTATCTCTCTATTTACAAGAATACATATTACTAATGACTATCAAATATCGCGTATCGCGTGTCGCATAGCTTTTCTACCTTCCGCCGGGTTCATGACACCGTCGTGCAGAACTGTTGCCACGCAACCGGCCGCCCCGTAGACGAGGTGATTGAATTGAGCTCTCGGACTCTTGAACTTCTCTTTAAGACACTCGTAGCAAGAAAAGTACAAGGCATGCGCGGGACCGGCGCCGGCAACCACCGCGCTGACACCTCTAATTGGCCTTAATACACCTTCTTGTCGTATCATTCTGCACAGCACCTCTCCCACTCCTCTTCCTCCCCCTGGACCGGGAGTTAATGCCTGCATTCTTGTCTAGACACACACAAGAGATAAGCGAGATTATTATCAATTGAACGATAAATCGGCTCCGTTCATCTTGCGCGTATTTTTCATTACGAGTAGCTTCGTGCGGGAGAATCTCCCAATGCCGCCTTACGAAACTATCGTTTTGTCGCAAAAGAACTTGAAAATAGGATGACTTGCTGATAACGAGGGGCAGTGGCTATCAACTGCTGCAGTGTGAGCGAGCGAAAGTGTCGGGCAGGATTTTAATTGACCATTTCAGTCGGTTGTCAATTTGCGCTTTGCATTAAAGCGTGCAACACGCTTGTATAATGAACGAAATCAAGGTCCGGCGTGCGTATTAAGCGGGGAGGCGCGTGCAGTATAGATAGCAGTCTGAAAAGGAGACCAGAAATAGAACCTCGCTGCCGACGAACTGCGTTACATAATGAATAGTAAACACTTGCATGCCGCCGCGGGAGCCCGGTACAATATATCATTTGCGATACACAATAATTCGCTCCCCCCCTGCGCCCGCCGTCGGCTACAAAGTGGCCATTGTCTCCGCCGTCGTGCGGACGCTCCAAGGAACGACGCGGCAGCATCTTTTACACGGCCGTGCCGTGGCACACGAGTGCGAACTGACTCGACACGGTGCTCCTTATCGGCCGCAGTCCTCACAAATTCTGCTCTCGCCTCGGGCGCGAATACACAAACCCGCTGTGTCAGAAGTACAACAGCGTGTCGTGGGACTTGTACAATGTAATTGGTCGACGCGCGCTCTCTCGTGCGTGCATAATCCTGGAAAAGTGCGAAGCGTCTCATTCCAATCGGGTCGGATTATAAAATTGTGTCAAGCTTCGTACAGCAGTCAAGCCGCACGAGTCTACCGAGCTATCGGTTGTGCGACGAGCTGTTGTTAGTCGTCCGGAACCGCACGCCGATCCTTTTCCTTCCCGCTCGAGCGAACAAGGAGCGACGTACGGTTCCGACGTCCGACCAGCGAGCCACCGCGCCTTGTCTCTGACTTTGTCATTCCATATAATTGAGCAATTTTCCTCGCGCGGGGCGCGAGAGAGACGGACAGCAGTGCGGCGCCCACGAGCGACGAGCGTCGTACGAGCCGCCGACGCGAACGCTGCTAATCTGCGCGTCTTGTTGGGCGGCAGATAAACTGGGGACGAGATAAAGCGTCAGTCTTCCAGGAAAGCATAGAGGAAAACGGATGATGGGTGGCATTTTCCTGGCGCTCGCGGATCTCGCGGAGACGCGCGAGAGCAGCCAACCGGCTGCGGCGGCCTCCGCGGCGAGGAGGTTATGTAAAAGGGCCGGAGGGTGGAAACGTGTTTGCGCGCGGGGGGGGGGGGGAGGGGAGGCGCCGACGATACCTTGACACTGTCAAACGGATACATGACGCAATGCTCCATGATCCCAGCGACGGCGCCGGCCGTCATGTGCACGGCCACGGAGTTGGTCGGCAGGCTCTCGTAGTCGTCTTTGCTCATGTTGACGGGGGAGAGAGAGCGCTCGCTCGTTAGCTCCTCAACGGGCCTCAGGTCCGCCGCCACGGTGTCGCGTAATCTTCTCTTTCTTTTTTCCTCCTTCCCTCCGTCGCTTCCTCTCTCTCTCACTCGCTCTCTGTTTCTCTCTCTTCGTCGCGTGCTGGCCGACAACACGTTTGCGCTGCCAATTCGACGCTCTCACGTCGGACACGCGGGTGTCGCCACGACGAGGATGGCGACGGCGTTTACGCGGACGCGCGCGCGGAGCGAGGACGAACTGCACACGGACGGGATCCTCGCGGCGGGACGGGCGCGCACGTTACGTTACGTTACATTACAATACACGCGCGCCGACATGTGACCGCGTGCGTCGATCGTTTCTTAATGGGGAGGCCCGAGAGAGAGAGGAGGCTCGGTGGCAGCTCGTTTCCTGCCCCCGCCCCGCCGCGGTACCCCCTTCCTTCCCGCCGAGCCCCGCGACGGGGATCGTCTCGCTCGCCCCGCGGGCTCTCGATCGTTTCGGGCGACTCGTGTCGCGCGGATCGGCGCGCGCGGTGCGTGACCGGGGGGGCCGTCGAGGCGGCCGGAGTAGCGCGAGGCGACGACGTCCCGACCGCGAGCGGACGAGCCGAGGGCGCAGCGCGGCGAGGTTAGGTCCGGGCGCACGTGCCGCGCATGCGTCGTGCCCGACCACGTGGTCCGTACGTGGTGCTGTCCGCGCTTCGAAACGCGAACCCGAATGAACGTTGCGTGTCCCCCGGCGAGGAGTGACGACACTGTCAAATTGACAGTGTCGATCGACGAGTCGTTTCTCGCTGGGATCCTCCGCGACGCCGGAGACACGACGGCGATGATTTTCCCGGCTGACGAAGGGGGAGAAGGGGGAGGGACAAAGAAAGAGAGAGAGAGACGAAGACGGCGAGCATAGACTTGTATACTAGAGTGCGTTCATCATGCGAGAAACTGAGCGCACCCTAGACTGCGCCATCCGCAGGACCACGTTTCCTCTGACTACGTTTCCATCGAGGGTCAGAGTCGGGCTAGAGTCGGGTCAGAATCGGGTCAGAATCGGGTTGGGGTGAGCGCTCTTGCGGTGGAAACACCAAACCCCAGCCCGATCTTGACCAGACTCTAGTCCGACTTTGGCCCTCGGTGGAAATTTAACGTTAGTCTCTGTCTAACTTGTTCGTTTTCGCCCCGCACTTAACGCTGAGCGAGAGACACAGAGATCATGACTCTTTCGATATATCTGCACTCTAATGTTTAGGACAGCGCGACCATATATAAGTCTGTGGCGGCGAGTCATCGTGAACGCGCGTCACCGCGCGTCACGGTGCAACTCTCGCTTCTCTCGCCCGCGCGTCTCGCCGCGGGACTCCCGTTCGTCTCGGCCGCGCTTTCACCACCGCCGGTGGCCCGCCGAGACTTTCCGTCGCGTTGAAACACGAAAACGACTAGCCCGGCGACGATTCGCGCGGTTGCGGCTCGCGATCGAACCACCCCTTTGTGGCGCAATATATTGGCGCGATATTGGGAAATAATGTAAATCTAGTATTCCCAATATTAGTCCGACGTTGTAAGATGGACGCCTTTCTCTTATTTAGCCAACTTTTCTATTCTGCAGCCAGTCAAAGCGCTTGAAAAATTTGTCACACGACAATGTTAATCCAGTATTCTCAATATTAGTCCGATGTTGTAAAGATGGACGTCTTTCTCTTATTTAGCAACGCTGGTCTGAGCGTATTATTACATTTGTCGTACGACAAATTTTTGAAGCGCGTTGATTGTCTGCAAGCTAGAAAATTTCTAGAGTCTCGACGACTTTTCACTTTGGAGTGGCTTTCCTCAATGCGCCGAACATATTTTGTTTTATTTGATTCTAAGGTCGCGAAAGAATTTAACAGATTTCTTTACTAAATTGACGTTGGTTGTGTCTCGTGATTAGAAACAAGGAAATAATTTCATATTCGACGGAGAGGCCAGGCGCGACCGCGGGCAAGTGTAGAAAGTGCAGCTGACAGGCGGAACCCGTTCCGGGAAAATTCTGAGCGACCTTCACGCACACACACACACATATATATATGCGCGCGCACGTGATAATAGCGGCTGTTATTGCATGCATAAAAATGCGAGAGGCTCGATGTTTTTCTTTTCAGATCGTTGTTTCTAACAATGGAATCGAGAGTCTCATGTTATGCAAAGCGATTGGCGCACGAGTCCACCGATCGCCTATTGTACTTCACCATCGGGAGGAGAGGAGTGAAATTCGGCCGCCCGGAGCCCAGTCAGAAATGACACGTAGATCGGCGACGAAACGACGCCGTATCGGTATCGAAACCGTCATTTTGACGTCGATTCGACATCGCTACGGCACCGATCGACGAATCATTTCTCACTGGACTTGCGCCATGTTGCACCACAGAAAGTGCATGACGCTCTCTCGCTGCTTACGTAAATTATATTTTATCAGCTGACGTAAATGCTGGTACCGCGACTTTTCTCTCTCTCTCTCTCTCCCTCTCTCTTTCTTTAATATGCACGTCGTTAACCTGATAATTTTCCTCATAATTGTTGTACGAATTGGTGCACTTTTCAGAAATACTGAGGAAACCCTGGTAAAAATTCCGTTAGAAACGGATAGAACATGCATTAAATTCTATCTGTTTCTGACTGTTCTACTATGCGTTTCGCGAAAACGCGTAGAATTTTTACCAGGGAAGTTGCATTTCTTTTCTTAGAATTCATGTAATATATAATATTATAATTTATATAATATTCTGATGAGATATAACCCATATTGCTAAATAGACATGCCCAGATAGCACAAGACACTCTTATGAACATTTTCTGAATATTCTTCAGGAATATTTGCAATATTCCACAGGCCGTTCTTACATATTTATCTTATGCTTGTGGAACATTCGACTGGCGTTGCTATAAATCTTCTTAGAACGCGAATAGAATAGTCTATCGAATATTATAGCGTGTCGGTTATATACGGTACGACCACAGGTTTCACTGCCTTTTGCATAAGATAAGTGTATTACAGAATACACAATGTGCAATACATAAACTCGGTGAATATTCGAAAATTATCCCGAACGAATATTCCAAAGACATTCTCGACGAATATTCTAAAAGCGCTCTTCTTTGTTGTGGATATACGATTTCCAATTGTTACAGTCTATATATATTTATAGAATATTCTGAAATTAAGAACATTTGCACGCCCGAAGGATATTCGTAGAGCTGTGTGTGCTATCTGGGTATTGGCTAAGGTCCAGTTTCACAAACGTCGGTTAACTGTTAACGAGAGTTCAGTCGACTTCCTATCTTTCTCTATCTTGTTATCCAAGAAGAGACAGAGGATCAATTAACCATGGGTTAGCGGTTAAACGACGTTTGTGAAACTGGCCCTAAATAACAGAAGGCGTCCATCTTGCAATATTGGATCACTTTTGGGAATACTAGATTTACATTATTTCCCAATATCTCGCCGGTATATCGCGCCACTAGGGAAAGTACATTTTGAATAGACTGCTAGTAGCAGTGCGAATTCGTACAGAATTTCAAAAAGCGAATCTTCCATTGAGTTGACGACGATCGCCAGCGAGCGATTTGAGAACCGCGTTTCGGTCGGGGGACCAACTTTCTTCCATTTTATCTACGAAGAAATGACTCGAGTTGTGAAATTGGCCGTAATATTCAGGCCGTTCATTATCGAACACGTAGATACGTCTATCGGATAAACAAGTCTATCTGATGGGAGCCCCGAGATCTGATCAACGCACTATTTCATGGACGCGTCGCGTCGTAATTATCGATTCTACTCGCGAATACTTTTATTGCGCCGATTCGCGCGACGAGCGGAGCTATGACTTTTCCTCGTCTATTGTCGGAAACATCGCGGAGACAATGGCCAGCGTTATGCGAGCGTGTCGCAAAAGAGAGCCATAAAACATATCGTCGCGATAAGTTTCCCCAACGTCGGCAGGCAGCTGGTTTACGAGTTTTCGCGAAACGAGACAGACTGGTCGCCGCGAATTATCTCCTTCCCCCCCACCCCTGCTTCCCTCCCTGTCCGCGATCATATTCGATTTCAGCGAGAAAAATATATATATCGACGAGCGCGATTGCGTGCAGCGATCAGCAGCATCGTCATGCCGTTTCTAAATGCCGAGAAGACCGTTTAAGTGGCAAGGTCGAGCGGCGTTCGCGACATGTGCAACGTGCGCTGCTACTCGGTAGCGATGCGCAAAAGTAAACAAGCCCGCAACGCCCGCCGTCGCTTTATTACATCTAATCCCGTCGTCGGCCCGCATCTTCGCGTATCACATAGCTGCGACGGTCAGCGTCGACGACCTTGCCCGTCGATTGGACAGAGGCTGAACCGAACCGCGGAAGGAGACGCACGAGGGCCTCCTCGTGCGCCTCCTCCGAGCACGTTGAGCTGTAAATTCGCCGCGGCGTCGTCGCGTTGCTCGCACACGCGCCTAGATTAATTTTGGAACTAATTAAAACGCACGGGGTTTCACGAAGTGGAGATTTACTTTCACTGATTACTTACTTCTCGCTTGGGAACGTAAAGTCCGCGGCACACGTGTAGTTAACAGGCATATCGGGTCATAAATAAATGTAAAAGGGAGCTCGGCTTATCTCGTATAGTTAAAACCGAGACTTCTATCGCCGGAGAGCTTACGATTAAGATTCTAGCAAACGCCAACTAACATGTTACATAACATCAATGTTATAATTTCCCACTCAACGACATAGATGAAATAACTCTTGTTGTACATAACAGCTGTATTGTTCACCAGGAAATGACAGCTGACGTTATGTAACCGTTAGTCGGTAGTTTTTTGTATTCGCTAAACGAGTCTTCCCTGGTAGCACAGTGCGTTGGCTAAACATTGGCTGAACATTGGTCCAATGTTGATTATATTGGAAATACATTGGCCGATATATCATATTGTGGCGATCGTAGCGCAGAGGATTGTGCGCTGGTCTGGTAATCCGAAGACTCGGGTTCAAAACCAAAACATTGTTGGTTTTTCGTTCGATCGCCGCATATGTGGATATAGAGAGAAAACAGAATATTTCTAATTGCAAAAAGCACACTGTGGATTGGACTTGAACGCCGCGAATTCTCCTTGTGGTCGCCACGTTCGCGTTGATCTTCTGCAGGATGTCGTTGACGGACTCGCTGTTCTTCGTCGTCGTCGCTTCTGTCGCGTTGTTGTTGCTCCCGCTGGACGCTGCATTGAGGTCGCCGGACAATGAGATTCTATCCGGGCCCTGCAGCGTTGACAGATAAGTCGCGAGCGCGTACCGACCTGTGTGGATCAAAAGTCCAATTTGAAGTTAAAACGGGAGGAATTTCGGTACTAACTCCGCTAGGAGAATTCGCGACGTTCAAGTCCAATCCACAGTGTGCTTTTTGCAATTAGAAATATTCTGTTTTGTATTATATAAGCAAATTAATATGCTAAAAAAATTGATCGACAATGTATACATGTACAGTACATAATGTACATGTCTATGGTTTCAATTTGCTCCAAGTTTTTAAACATATTGATTGGTATGGATATCCATAAAATAGAATATTACTAGACGCAAAGAGCATATTGTAGATCAGGTTTTATACTCTTAAAACGTGAAAAATACGCGACGATAGGCCGTGGTCGCGCGGGAGTCGATTCGAAGGCAGGGGTGTCGTTATTGTTCAACGTAAAGCCAATATTAGCCATGGAATTAATGTAAATATTGCGCGATAATAGTTATACAATTTTGGATTTATATTGAAAGCGCACTGGCCAATATTTAACAATGTACTAACCATATTGATCTAATATTGATGCAATCGAATGAGTGACCATAAAGAATTTTTCAAGTTAACAAGAATGACAGTACAAAAGTTCAACTATTTGAACGATCTTTTGAAACCAATTGCAAGATTACAAAAATGGAGTCGCAGGAAATTGCTCCATCATCGGTCGTAGTCGTAAACCGGAAAAGATAAGACACGTTCCTTGTTTAGACAGCCGGTAGCCTGGTGCGCATGCATTCAATATCCGATTATGACATGCCACGTATTATACCCAGTGAAAACAGTGTAGCCAAAATGATGTCTATGTGACATAAAAATCATGATTTGTAGTCATTGAGTCAAGGAAATATTTCAACATGAGGAAAATCGACACTATCTGCATTGACACTGTACGCGATAAAAGGTCATATGGAAAGGTGAAAATAGATACCTATCTACGAGATGATAATCGTAGTGTTATATAAGAAAAATTCAAACATACTATGTGGACGTCAAAATGACTACATTATGATGAGACAATATTTGACTTACTTTTTCTCGAATTATTTTAGCATTATTTTGACTACTGCTCATTAAGTTGATGGCACTTTGATTAGTTTTCACTGGGTAGATCCGGCCTTACGGGACGACCCAATGTAGCATTAATTTCATCCCAGAGCGATTTCAATGCCGGCGAGAAATTTATAAACACTTTGGACATGGCACGCCTAATCGTGTGGCGAATAAAGAAAAAAATTTAAACGTACAAAATTTTGCCTCGTAATATTCTTGCTGAAGTAAGACGTGACACACGCGCCTTTTGTATGTACATATTTATACAAGCTTACTGATAATATCGGTATAGCTAGTAGAAATAAGAATACGTTTCTTAAAGTATAGATCTAAAGATACATGTGACGTAATATCGCAGTCTTACGCTGCTCTTCCCAGTCTTCGTGTCGCCATGAATTATTGTGAGAATGACAAGACACTTCGGGAGGTTTCTTTTTCTTTGTTTATTACTTTGTAATCGGAGTATCATTCTAGTAATAAATGATTTACGCTAGAAGACGATGGTATAAATAACGTGAAGAGACGAAGATGGAGGGATATGAAAATTACTAAGGAATATCGTATCAGCTTTCTCCGACGACGTGAGCTACAACGCGAACTGGGTCTTTGAGAACTTAAGATTAGATTTTACATCATATGGCGCTTACTCTATAATGATTTTATCTTATCTTATCGATGATCCCTTGCCTTTATCTTACAGTCGATCAGTATCGTAGAGTCTTTCAACTCTTATATGTACACACGCACACACGCACGCCGGAGTTGCTTATAAGAATGCTTCTGGAAAAGATTAATCGCTAACCCACTCGCGGTATAAAATCTACAAATGTTTATAAGAACTGTCCTATTCCACAGAACTGGTATAAGCGGAAAGGTAGTCTAGCACACACCCTGTTGCGCAACCTTATAAATATATATATATATATATATATATATATATACCGTTGTACATCTGTAGTGCGTCTAATTACGTACGTGGGTATCATAAAAAGTTGTTCGCGTTGTTAAAATCGGCAACTTGCACAGATAAACGTGTAATAAATTACGTATACACACTTTAATGTCATCCTAATGATGCGACGGTCTACGTGTGGAACCGGAAGGACGAGTTTCTTTCGTGGATTTCGATTGCAGCTTAAAAGAGGGACAATTGTGCTCAAACACTTTTGTTAGACCGAGTCCAACAGTATCGTAGAGAGACGACGAGAGTCGATTGTGCAAACCTTACAATCTTAATAACTTTCAAGTTGCGTTCTACGATCCACGACTACTCGTTCGTACATAAACGTATGTATATGCATACGTACAAGTAGAGACACTCATTCCCAACACAAGTGGACAGTAGACGAGTATGCTATCCCGAAAAAAAAAGTACGTACTTCTTTCCAACACTCGCACTCGCCAAAACTTACGCAATCAATCTTTTGTTATAATATTTAACATTATAATCTTCAACATGTCTTAGATATTATATGGAAGATGTTAGTTGAAGCCGACAACATTTTCACCTCGAAATATATAAACTTGTTAAAGGAATATTCTAATTAATAAACTCTCGTTCATTGAAGCGCTGACTAAAATATTTTTAGTCGATAATATCTACGAAACCTCATAGGTATTAATAAGTTATTATAATTGGTAACATAAATTTCTTAGCTCGTATCCAGAATTTCAGGTGCAAACAAATGTTCCAAGTATTATAAAACGTTATAAAATAAAAGTATCATGTACTTTAATAAAAGGATTATTAAAATGTTATATAAAATTCAGTATGTATTAACTAAGTTTCAAACTAATTATAAATGTCTAATTATGCACATACTTTTACGTCATTATTGTTCAACGGAGAAACGAAATAGTTGATTAAATTGAAGAAGGTGGTAAATTAAATAAGGAATTTTTTGTAATGATATTGTAATGATACACAATGCATATTACTGTATAACGAAACGAAATAAATACGATCGGAAATCGTATAGTGCTTATTGAACCTGAATCCATGGGGCGCTAGCTATGCTTGATTAGATCGTCTGCTTCGACGAGAAGAACTTGAAAATAACGGACGTGGTTTATATAAATCATCGCTTGAGTATCGCTGATGACTGGTCCTATTACGGCTGCAATTTGAAGGAATAATAACGTTAGGCGGAGCTTGCTCTTCTCAAAGTATATGTCGAGAAAAAGAATATTTATTTAGAATGATACAGCGAATGCGCGCATTTATAGAACAGATGTACAAAGCATGTACGAAACAAGATACATGTGAAACTCTTGTGCTACGTAAAGATCTCGGAAACGTGTAACATACCTCTTTTCTTCTTTGACTACGTTAGACGACGCCGTTTTGTCGCTCGTCGCGGACACGTCGCTGTCGGGGCTCAAAGGCATGACAAAGTTCTCGCCATTCGAGATCCCTTGGGGGCTACATAAACTGGAGAATCTCGGTTTCTTGGTGAATTTCCTCTTCTTCACGCTATGCACCGCGTTCTCGTTGGGCGAGGACGACAGCTTCTGCTTGTGGCCGTCGTTGTTGTTGTCCGAGTTGTTCATCAGTATGTCCGACAAGGGACTGGACGAGCGCTTGCGCGACTTCGGCAACGGCGGCGCCATGGATCTCGGTATCGAGGAAACCACCTTGCCGCCTAGGCTCTCAATTATTTCCTCCAAGGACGAGCTCTCCACGAGTTCTAGAGATTCTAAGAAGTTGGAGAACCTCTCCGACTTCTCGTTGTCAGTCTTGAAGTAACGGCAATCCTCGTTGTCTTCGCTGATCGCGGAGGACGAGGACCTGTTTCCCGTACAATCGGTATTTGAATCTATTGCGTCAGTCTCGAATGACGCACGCGTTTCTGTTTGCTTTACATCCGATAATCCTCTACTATCGCCTGGTATTTCCAACGTATCGCCATCCTTCGTTTCTTTGTTATCGTCCTGTGCTTCAGCTAGATTACAATCCCGTATCGCCACACTCTCTTCTGTCGATTGTTCCACGCTTCTGTCCTCGTTGCGACTCGGAGATTTCGATTCTTCTGAAGCTAAAGTTTCCTCCAGCTTCTGCGAAACACGCGTTTCCTCCGTTTCTACACGGTGTTTCTCTTCGTCAGCATTCGTGCGTTCAGTCTCATTTATCGGACCTTCCTCGGGCTCGTCCTCGCGCCTCTCTTTAGAGATCTGCGAATCTTCCTCGCAAGCCTTTTCTTCAACGTGCGAATCGTTCGATTGCGCGTCAAGTTTCTCGTCAGCTTTGGCATCCTGCGTGACCTGTGCCTCCTCTGACGGCACATTCGGCACCGCTCCGCTTGAAGACTGTCCCGTACGCAACTCCTTCAGGAAGTCGTTGGCGCAAGACTCGGTTCCCGGCATTATTATTGACCTCTCGTCCAACAACAAACGGGGCTCGTGCTTCTCGGGGTAAGGCTCTTCGTACTCCTCGTCGGGGATCTCTATAATTTGAACCCGCTCGTCGTCCGGCACGCCCTCGATATTGTCGAGATTGTTCTTCGTACTCGACTGACTCGTTTGATCCGCTTCCTGCGCAACCTTTTTCTCTACCTTCTTATCGTCCTTGAGTTTCTGCTTCTCCATCTGCTTCCTGATTTTCATCAGTTTCTTAGCTTCGTGTATGTTCTTGGCGAATTTCGGTTTCTTCAGTTTCACGTCGGACGTAGAGTCGCCGTCTTTATCCGGCAGCAGCCTCTTCTTCAGCGGCAGGCTCGCGTCACGTGAATCCGCGCTTTCTTCCTCTTCTTCCTGCCTGTCGTACGCCTCGTTGCTGTTGTCGGTTTCCGTCCTCGAGTGGCTCTTCTCACTTGTCGACAGTTGCGAGCTGACTTTAGGCGGTAACTTACAATTGGACTGATGCGGCGTCTTCGAATCGCTCACTTGCGTCTTCTCCGCGATGCTGTCCGACGTCTCGCTACCGGAATTACTGACGTGATTGTCCTTGGTCAAATTCGACGTACTCGACTTGGTGCTCGTTACGTTGGAATTCGAGTTGCTGGGCGGTAAGGTCTTGTTATTCGAGCCGTTCGAGCCATCCCTGTCGGTAGAACGCCGATCGTTCGAGTTCTTCCGTAGACTCGAGTGATCGTCCTTCGTCTTGGACTTTTTGTCGTCTCGACGCTTCTTATCCTTAGACGGACTGTCGCTTTTCGACTCTTTTCTACCGTCCGACTTGTCGACGCGCTCCGAATTCTTGCCGGAGTTCTGTTGCACGTGGCTCTTGGCGTCCCTCTTACCGTTCGTCGTTTTCTCGCCGCTCGCCTTGACGTCCTTCTTCGTGTCCACCTTTCCACCTTTATCCTCCTTCTCATTTTTGGAAACCTTCTTTGAATCCGACTTGTCGGACTTGTCCGATAAATCCGATTTGCTACTGTAATGACTCTTACCCTTGCTGTCTTTCGACAATCGTTTCTCATCCCGCTTTGCTTTATCCTTCGAGTCCGACCGTCTATCCTTTCCATCCGTCTTTTCCGACGCCTTGCTGCTCTTACTTTCGTGATAACTTGCAGGATTTCTCGATGACGACGACGACGACGAACTCCTGTGCTCTTTCTTGTTCGATTTTTTATCCTTAGCAGGATCCTTTTTGTCTTTAGTCTCCTTAATAAGCTTCACATCTTTATCCTTGTTCAACTTCTCCTTCTCTGTCAATTCTTTCTTCTCCCGAAGTTCTCGAATTTTCTCCTTGTAAATATCTTTCAAATCTTTCACCTCTTTATTGACGTTATCCTTGTCTTTCTTATCGACTTCTTTAAGCTTCTCGTCTTTGAGTTTGTTGGCGTTATCCTTTAAGCTCTCTGAAATATCTTTAATTTTATCGGAACTTTCTCTCGCCTGGTCAGTTCTGTCTTTAGGTTTACTTTTACTGTGCTTATCGTATTTCTCGCTGCTGTGCTTATCGTACTTCTCACTCGACCTCTTTCTCTCGGTGCTTTTGTCCTTGTAATACTTGGCGTCCTTGCTGGCAGATTTTTCTTTCGTGCTCTTCGACAACTTGGACTCGCTATCTTTGCTCTTCTCCCTGCTCTTGTGATCATACTTGTCTTTGATACCACTATCCATGGCATCACGCGAATTTTCCTTAGAAGATACGCTTTTGGTACCCTTAAAATCTTTCGTATCTTTGTAATCTTGCACATCTTTGCCTTTGAAGTCAAAACTACTCTTGGCCGGCTTGCTCTTAGACGAATCCAACTCCCTGATTGCCTTGAAGTTGTCTCTGCTGCTTTTGGCCTCGTACTTATCCTTTGTCGTTTCATCTCTTGACGAGTCGTGCACTGGCGTTAAAGCGTGATTAGAGGAGCCAAAGTCCGTCACTATTGACAGCCGGGAATCCGAGGAGACTTTGCTCAGCTGAGAATCTTGATTGCTATACTCGAAGTTATCCCGCGACAGTTCATTCGAAAAATCTGGGCTTCTGGATCGGTGACTCGTTAACTCCGATATTCCCGATAAATGCGAATCGTTGGAAATGTTGGATTCATTTAAGTTCATGATGTCGATAGGCTCGAACGTGGGACTGACCTCCTCCTCCTCGTCGTCGACTCTATCGTCCGATTTTGCGGACGTGTTCAAGTTTGAATTATTTCCATTCTTATTTAGAATTTTGTAAGCTTCATCTGACGTTTTCTCCTCCACGAAAATGTGTCCGTTTTCCGAACCAGCTCTGTTCTTATCCCTGTACAGTTCCTCGTCTCGCAGCCTCTGTTCGTCGGCCCTCTCGTCCTGCTTTCTGTCAAAATCATTTATGTCGTTTATATCCAAGGATTCGAGAGATTCGTCCTTCAAGCTGTTCTTGTCGGACTCTGGCGAGACCGGGTCCAGATCTTTGGGCAACAGGTCCTTCAGACCGCAAGCGCCGTTCTTCTCCTTCGCCTTCGGTCTCTCGATACCAAGAAATTTGTACACCACATCCTCTATGTGCGGCATGAAAGCCGAATAGACCTTGGGATTCACCACTTGATCCACTATCCGTTCCACGCCGGCATCTAGATACGGAGCGTCGTGTATGTGCTTGCGCAAATTCTCCCTAAGCTGATTCTTGTTCAGGTCCGGCATCCATAGTTGCTTGCTAAGGAAAGAGTTTACGGAGCCTTCGACCCTTGTCCTCAGATTCTGATACGCGGGCTGAAATTGTACACACGCTATTAGATATCACATTAGTGTATATTATTTATCAAACGAGCCACCGTTTTTGCGATAATGATATACATTAAAGCATCTGCTTTAGAAACGGCACGTCTAAACGTCAAGCTTTCCAGAATCAAAATTTTGTTAAAGCAACACGACTCATCATTCAAACCTTGGTCACACGAGGCATTGTGAAACTATCGCGCAAGTATTCACCTTGTAAAGGTAATAACAGCGGTCGAGATTTCTCTATGTCTGTGTGTCTTGTGTCCAATTCGGTTGCTTGCTTCTTTACAGTCAATTCTCATATTCAAAGACCGTCTTAAATATCTCTTGAAATATTTCGTAGCTAATAAACTGATCTGTGTAGCGTCATCCATGCGGATCATTTTCTGGCTAAATACTTTGTGCACGTATTTAAGACGACGTTAAATACAAAAGTTGACCACAAACAAGGCCAATTTCACAAACGTCGGTTGACCAGAGTTCAGTCAACTCCCTGCCTGTTTCTGTCTTGTTATCTAAAGCCCAATGTCCACGATGCTTGAT